TGACTGTGTACTGGTGATATGGCTAGGAATTAGCTTAGAGGGTTTAAGCACACACAAACACATATTTGTCCTTTTTATACTGTTGGAATTTATTAAGATCTACGAGAGAATAATAATCTGGGGTTGAACTGTGAATATAGATAGCGATAAAATTAATCAGATATTGGCAATCAAATGATGACTATGCTTAAATAAACTTTGACCTTAGAAAACATGCCAAATCTTGGCTAATTGCCAGTTTTGTATTTTGAAATTATAATTAGGGAGATGTAAAGAATACATTCTGTAGATCCTCATTTAATTGCGGCAAAATCAAATTAATTGTTAGGATTTAAAAATTATTTTTTGGTCATGGAAGGAATTTTACTATCTTATATGTTAGTAATACATTTCCTCACCAATTTAACATAATGATAAATAATTCTGTTTCCACTTGATTATTTTTGCATATTCTACCTCTTTAATTTGGCTGGTTATCAATTTTTTTCTTCCTGTAAAAAGTCTTTATCCGAGTCCTTCAATGGAAGTTGATTACTTTGATTCTAAGAAATCACTGTATTTAGTTACATTTTGTTTAACTGTTTTTAGAGATCTTTAGTCCTAGGGATTTTGTGTGTTAAAATACTCCATAAGAGTCACAACTTGCATATAAAGAGCAGGTTATTAGGCAACTGTTTTTTGAATGAACATGCTTAGCACCAGAGGTTAAGCTTTTGTTAAGGGCTTTTTGTTGTGACTGATCTCCTAGTCTGCATTCATATAATTGGCTGAGACTACTGTATAAAATTCCATTACCAATTCTGCTATTGTTAGCATTTTTACCCAATGTTACTAGGCTACACAAAAAATCTTTCGACTGTTTTGTATTTTTTTTTTATTTACTATTGAACAAAACTGCACCCCATTGGCATTACATTTTGAAATTCCTAATTCACTGCCTGTTGTAAACAACAGTACAGAAATGCTAATTAGGTTTCTGTCTGTGTGCTGAGTAGTTTGCTGAGAGAGACACAACACGGCAGTAACGAAGCAATCAACGTCACAACACACACAGCAATAACATCGGAGTTCAAGGCCTATGCTAACACTGAGCTACTTACTAAACGTGACTAATGCTAGTTCAGTAGTGCACTATTCAACCTCTGCCAATTTCTTGTTTACAAAACCATTGTTTTGAGCTTTTTTATTTTTACTTAGGAATTTATTACCAGGACTTAGGTATGCAACAGTTTTTCATATTGAATACAAAATATTACTATTTTTAGTTTACTATTTTTTTTATGTTATCTTTTATTTACAGTACTTGTTGTTAAGCATCACTGGTTGTTTCGCAATTTTATATTTGATTTAAGTCCCTATAAAAATATTATTAGTTTATCACCATATCTAGGCTGGAAATGTGATGAGGGAGGCTTTTTTTAAAAATTTTTTATTTTGCTAAAGCCAAAAATCACCCTTTGTTTGTTTGCTGGTGCATTGATATTAAAAGTAAAACATGATTGAGATAATACAAACTACTAACTATTTAATTTAAAAAAAAACTGAAAAAAAAATTAATCATTTTTTTCAGTAGAATAGAAGACATGCATTTGAGGGTGATAAACTAATAAAAAAAGTTATTGGGCTTAAATCAAATCATTTCAGTGTGTGCTTACATTGTTACAGCTCCTTATCCGTGTTTGGGGAGGAAATGAATCTAACTTTAGTGGTTTCCACATTTGGTTTCATTGACTTGTCATTGTTATTCATGAAATAATAGCACCAATCAAATGTTTACACATTTGGTGTGAGTCATTCACATTTTCCAGGCAACCTCACACTCTTGCGCTACTCAAATCAGCGAGTAGTAATTGTATTTGTAATATGTATTGCTATGCCAATAACAAAAATTAACAATACTGAAAATACTACAAAAAAAAAACATCGTGAAAAAAATCAAGCTTTATACAAAGACTTCACTAAAAATGACATAGCAGAGAATAACCCTTTAAGCTGCCCAATTAGGAAATGAATATGGGATCAGATCATATCACAATACAGTATGATAAATGTATATTTTGACTTTTTCAACCATACAGTAGAATCATCTTTTTTGACATAAACAGAAACTTTGCAAGAATCCTCTCATTCAACTGGTATACTAGGCCTATTAATTAAAGTTCCTTTGAAGCTTCATTTATCATTTTTATTTATAAGGCGTTATTCCAACAGTATAACTAAAAGACCAACACTGGGTTAAGAGTAGGAGACTGGGGGCCTGAGGCTTCACCACTTGACAACTCATGGGCGTTGCGCCACTGTTCTCAAACCCCTTGAACTTTGCAGTGAAATAGTAATCATCAAAAATCATGTTACTGCGTATAAAAAAATAAGGGAAAATGTACAACAATCCTACATCCTACATCTTACATGGCCCAGAAGGGCAAACGCAAAGAGAAATGAATACAACATAAGTAAACAATAAGAAAAAAGCAGGAATTTAATTAATTATGCAATTTGATTATTTGATGCCAAATTTTATTGACATGGACATGTGAAGTGAAATCATAATACCAAGGCAATGATAGATAATATGGTAATGTCATTTGAAACAATATTTTTTAAACAGCTGAATGTTCTTACACACTACAGTACAGTAGTACAGTGCTACAGTACACATCAAGATACTCAAAAGCAACTACTGTATTTGGTTACAAAATGAATAAATTGTGTAAATACATTGTTCAAAGTATGGTACAGCACCAGTAATAAAAAAAAAACAAAAAAAAAAAAACCTTGAAGTTTGTGAATTCTATCGATAGTGGTAGTGTTATTCACATTGCAGTATATTTGATATTGGTGTACTAAAAAGTAAATATTATTTCTCATAATTTATTAACCATGCTGGAATCCAGATAACAATTGATAAGGGAATAATGTAAATTGTAGTAACAATATGATTATATGCTTAGATCTTTAAAGCAACAACCCAGGTCATGTGTGTATAACCTCTAAAACTGTAATATCATACCAACAAGTCAGTGACATTGATGTATTAAGACCCAATAATGTCCAAGAATTAGTGATGACATAAATTATAGTTATAGGTTTTTAATTTAGTAGAATGATTTTTGAGAGGATTTTTTTTCTTGTAGTATTATTAGGATATGTCATGGTTGTTTCTTTTTGTTAATGTAAAGCACATGGACGCAACTTTCTTTTATCATGTGCTATAACCATGGAGGTATTCTTGAGAAGGTAATCACTCGGCAACAGATCTCTTTAACGTGACAAACCAATGTGTTTTCCTCGCCTTTGGATCGCGCGCTGGTGTATTACCCTATAATTCCCATCTTTTCGTTAGCAACAACTTGGCAACTTCATGCGTTTATACGTTTAATGAACAGTGTTCCCCTGATTGGATTTTTTCGGACTTTTAGTATGTTATTATGTATATATTTCAGGAACAGATTCCGCAAAATATTTCTGTTAAAATTACTTCTGTGTTCATTATAATTTTGTCTAAAGATCAATTGGTTCGACTATAAAGCTAAGGCAACGTAAAACTGAAAATTACTCTGATTTTGGATTGAATTTTCAAACAAGTTGTTAACCCTCGTTAACCCTAAAATTACTTAGTTTATTAAATCTGCCATCATTCCTTAATTAATATCTGTTAAAATTAGAATTATCAAGTTTTTATCAAAATTCAAGTTGAAATATACCATACTTTTAAAGCTGATGTAAATGTTTCATTAAATTCGAAACTCTTTTTTTATAGAAAATATTATTATGTTTGCTATTTCTTGAAAGATCAATGTATTAGCTTCATTGTGAAAAAACGATTGCACAGCCATAGTAATTGACTGTAATTAGTGCGCATTGAGAAAAGAAAGTGCTCTCCATTTTGCCATGTTTCAATTTTTTGGTAAACTAAGCCTGCTGAGCATTTGATGGTGGGGAACACATGGGACTTCAAAGGCATCGCGCAAACGTTCTTTACGCGCTGCGGCAGCTTTGTTCTTGGTTCACTTGCATAGTGCTGCGTGCGTGTAGCTTTTTCGAGTGATCTCCTCAATAATACCTCCATGCTATAACATTATATATATTATTATTATTATTAACTTTTTTTTATACATATTCTGTATTGTTTATCCATTGAAATGCTTAATATAGTAATAGTTTAAAAACAGATTGAATAACAGATTGATAAGATAGAAACAGTTTCATTTATCATAGACACTCTCAGTATTTTAATAACAGATGCTTCCTGATAATAGTTTGTAGTCAAATCCAGTTGTACTGTATTAAGAAACCATTTCTACTTCATCGTGTACTCCACCTTTCATGAACAAACTTGCTTTTAAAAATTATTTGGTTATTTATTTATGAATAAGTTTTAAAATTTGTATTTTTTAGTAGTAATCTATTAAAGCAATTTTAAACATTAACACAAGCATTCTTTGTATTGACAACATAAAGTAACTTCATTAGGCTAAGCTGGTCAGTCAGATACTGGAACAGTACATTAGTGGTGCCCTCTATTATCAGCTCTGGTCCTGTAATGATTGACTCTGGGATCGCTTGTTTATTAGTCCTGAAGAAGATAATATTGTTTAAATTAAGTGTTTATTCCTTTTGTTTTAATTATTGTCTATTATTGCCATTGCTGCTGCTGTTTATCCAAGTTCTTTTTTTTTTCAATTCTATTTTCTAGTGGCATTTACATTTATTAAGCACAGTACAAAAACATAAGGGAAGGACAGCAGGTATAAAGATGCATCTATTTCTTGAATGCTTTGGATAAATTGACTATAGCTGTAATAGCCTATTGTCTCCCAAAACAGAACACCGCTCAAAAAACAAATGGATATTAAGCCCCTAGCACCAAGCAAAGTGCTCCTGTATGTCATCCTCTTCATTCTTTTTTGAAAGATAGTCACTGCTAATTGAAAACAGTTCATTCATACTTTTTTATTGTATAATATTTTGAAATTGTTTTATTGAAAATTATTTTCCAGATGTGTGCACCTGCTAACACACCAGCGACTCCGCCCAACTTTCCCGATGCTTTGGCAGCGTTCTCAAAGATGTCTACCTCAGATGCGTGCAAAATGTTTGGATCCTCGCCTATCCATGTAACATCAACAACGCAACCGCAATTTGCACAGAGCAATTCCAACAACAACCAAATGGAGGTCGAGCCGCAACGATGAGTCGGGTTGACATGGGGGAGTGATAGCAGAGAAAAGAACAGCATTCATCTTTGCCTAAAATAGAAGACTTGGTAGAAATTATGGATTTCACAAAGAAAAAAACAACCACGGAGGACAAGAACAAAACAATTTTCCTAGATGGTGTTAATTTTTTCGCTCTAATTTTACATGCAAATTAGAGACTGCACCACAGATTGTTATTCGGGAATTGGTTTCAGCTTAATTTATGTTGTGATCTTAATATGCAATAGTAAATGATAGTGAAGCTGCTCCCGATTTGAGAAAAGTACTCTAATGAAGGGAGTGTGCTTGCTAAGCACCTCCCCCCCTCTGATGGGCAAGTCAGGTAATGATTTTCTCTTCACATGGACCATCAACAATGCAGGTTAATTTGAAAATCCTTAATTTAAATCAAATCTTGTTCTTCGGTATGTTATTTTATTACCGACAATTTGCTTTCTCTAAAACCTTCAAACCTGATTTTATATATGTATGTAGTCAATATGATTTTGTACAGTAGTTTGTGATATCAAAATGTAAAAAGATAAATGTATAGGACTGACACGATGCAAGGGTAGTTAGGATGAGGAAGACACTTTTAAAAATTTAAATTAATAGAAATTTAAAAAACTAAAAACTATCATAAACCATCATCATCAATTTAAGGATAAACTGATATGACAATTTTTTTTTTCTGGTACTTTTTGTCATAATTATTATTAATACCAATATTGCACATGGTAATTTAAAGATGTCACGTAAGTTTTACCGTGTGTGAAAAATATATGTGATTTGCCCATATTATGAGTATGATAATGTCATATCGTATCCAAATATGGATGGATAACATGTAACTGTACTGTCAAATCCTTATAATGAAGGCAGTGCTTAAAATTTGCTATTTTAATTGGCAGTTTGTTTACACCTGCTATGGAGAGATACATCCCGTGGTATTGTTTGTGAGAAACTTAAATACCTTCATTAATATTATGGAAACATTAAAAAAAAAAACTATAATGTAATTATGGTTATTCTTAATGATTATTTCTGCTTCTCTTGCTCAATTCCTCAAAAATTTACAATGTAATTCAAATTTTATTCTGTGTTTACTTGTTGAATGCTTGCTCATCCGTCACAAAAAAAACAAATGATTTGGTGTGTTGCCAAGGGTTGGCACAATGCCAAACAATACATCTTTGAATTTTAACTAAACACAGTGTATGGCATGTTCTATAGGTCTTTATCATCTCATATGGTGATTTCCCATAATGCAAGTATTTAACACTTGCGCTGGCTGCGGGAATGAGTCTGCTTAATTGTGTTTCAGCTGACCCCTGAATTCGTAAAGGGTCATAGATAGGTCACTGACACAAAATGTCATGTGGATTTAACCTTGAGTTTAACCTCAACCACATTGTAGGAAAGCATCAGAATAATGCTGTAGCACGTACTGCTCTAATCTCAATCTTTGAAACTTGTCACAAATTTCTAATATTTCATCATCTTTTAAACTATAATAAACCACAACTATTTATCCATCGGATCTTTTAAGTACATGACAAGGATTCCATTTTAGATCAAGAAAAATATAAAACCATTTTCATAACCTGTCGTTAATACCTTTTCATTTTGGATGATTTTTTCCATTCATAAGCCAAACAATCAATTTTAATATAGACTATTGAATATGGCAAATCAGTTTGTTGGATGGCATTGCAGTTTAATTGTATAAAAACATATTTTTTTCAAGTTTCAGCAACAAATAACACATCTTTATAGTGAAACAGTACATTTCATCATTTCAGTTACTTTAATGTTTATGGTGATGATGGTTTTAGTATGTTTTTGAATTTCTGCAGTTTAAATTGAAAGATTCCCAATGTACCCTATGGTGACAAAAATTGAAGCAATGCTTTGTAAATATGAAATTAGAACAGTTTACTAATATTAAAAATTTAATTTGAATGTAATTTTTTTATGTCTAGATTTTTAAGTAGTGGTTTGTCAGTATTCAAAGTTTTATTACCACAATGTTTGGTTTAATTAGTTTTCTAGGTAACTAATTAAGATATAGTGCTGATTATGAAAAAAAAATTATTATATTAATTTTTCTTAGGAAATATAACAAATTATGTTTATTAGTATGATTGGTTGACTGGAAAGTTGTGCATTTATAAATTAATTCAGTTTTTTTCAAAAACATTTTGAAAATATTGGAGATGAGATTGTATTGCCGGTAGCTTGTTTACAGTTTTATATGAATTTGGTATCTGCGTATATGTTAATCACGATTGACATTATTCAAACACAGCACTGTATGGAAACTCAGAAAACACTTTCAAAACGATTCCTTTGGTGTCTTTTTTTAAAGCTTTTCACTCTTTATTGACAAGAAACAACACAGAAAGATGTTAATATATAGAAATCTGTTGTAATTTATTAAAATGATTTAAGAGAGGAAAAGTTTGCATGAAACTATCAAATATAGAGATTAGTTTCGTGTGATGTATTGGTATGTTTTTATCGATGTTAAATGTGTAACTGTCCCTTCTGAGTTTCCATACATTGCAAATTGTGCGTACTTAAGGTGTAGATACATTGTAAGACTTGTACTTGAGCAGTCGAAGAAAGCATGCACTTGATGAATAATAAAACATTAAGACATGAGTTGCAGGTCATAATTAATTCAAGCATCCTGATTGGCCAGAATATATAGCTTCTTTTAATTGGTAACCACAGTCAGTTATGTGACGGAAATCTTAAAAATCTGTTCTTATTAAAAATTGTCAGGGATTTCCCCAAACAGTGTAATATGGGTGTGTTATGACATCATCATACCCATATATGGACAGAATAATGTCACATTTTACCTATGTGTGGGCAAAGTACAAATAATTATTCAGAACAAATGTGAACAGAGCTTAAAGCCTTGTTCAGACTATCAAACTTTATTTGACAAAAACATGTGACATGCCTAAATATGGTCATGATGACATCACATCAGGACCATATATAGGCACATCATGACCATATATAGGCACATCATGGCCATATATGGGCACATCATGACCATATATGGGCACATCATGACTATATGGGCACATCATGACCATACATAGGCACATCATGACCATATATGGGCACATCATGACCATATATAGGCACATCATGACCATATATAGGCACATCATGATTATATATGGGCATACAACAGTTTTTTTGTCAAATAAAATTTGATAATGTGGACAGAGATTAAGTCCAAATATAAACAAAACATGTTTCAAATTCCCTCCCTTATGTTGTGTTGTGGGCTACAGTATCTCATTTTGTGAACTTTCCCTATCAAAAGTACATAGGAAATCTCTTAGAAATGCAATCATTCTCATAATCCACGAGTGTCATTGGGCACCTCATCCTCACTATACGAAAAACTTTTTTATTGTATTATTTAATTATTTATTTTTTTAAATTAAAAAGAATATTATATTATTTTATCATTATCAACTATTCCCAGTGGTTTGTTGAAGAAGAATATATAAGTAAATATATAAATTGAATGAAAAGGAAGTGAATGAATTATTGTGAAAGTAGTTATTGGTTCATGTACTGTCGTTGCCAGATTAATCAGTTATTTATAGAAAGAAATGTGTTATGTAACATTCCATAGCAATGGTGTAGAAGGTAAAATAAAGAGGAGTTCATTTATTTAATTAACTTTCATTATTTTTTTTTTATTATGTATTCTGATTGTGCTGTTATGCTATTTTATATAAATTGGTATTATGAGATGATAATTTGGTAGCAATGTATTAGTTTACAGCACAGGCCAACTTCTTCATTAATTATATATTAATTACAGCAGGTATTATATCAAAAGATGTGTTAGGTTCTTGCACTTTTGTTAACTTCTAGTTTCTTATTTTGCATTCAGTAATCAGTCAACCAGGGTTCTCTCTTGATGTGCCATATGTTAGGTATCCCATTGGGCCAAGTAAAAAAATGGATTTTTGTGATTGGAGAAGATTTTTGAGTGATTTAACTCTCCTTATTGAAACCGGACACTCGCTGCGTAGTACGACATTCATGACCGTCGACGACCGACGGATCCAACTCCACCTCCCTGTGAGCGCCAGGCGGCGCGGCGCTGTCTGTTAATTGTCGGTGGCAGTCTGAACAGATCGTTATAATAAAGGATCTGTTGCGTGCGGGCGTCATCGCATTTTTTTCTCCATAGAATCCAGTCTGTGACGACCGTCGGACGCAGTGCGTGTTTGGCTTAAAAGACCCTGACAGACAAATTTTTTTATGTGGCCTTCTGGTATTTGCAAACATGCTCGTATGGCAGTCATGCGTGCAGTTAGAATTTTTTGAAAGAAGCGTTTTCAGTACACGGCAAGGTGCTTGCATAATGTTCTATTCCATATGGATTTATTAGGTTAAAAAAAGTTTGTATTTTGTACAAAGTAGTATAATAATTTGTTACCATAGCAATGATGATGATGATAATATTCTTGCAGTCAATAGTATGAATTGTGTTGTTAATCTTAGAAACATTTCAAAACTATGATAACCTGCCATTTGTGGGACATTTACCTTCTGTATTACCTTTGTATCTTACTTTTGGACTAAAATAGGATAATATGGTAACAGTTTGTAGGGCGATTTAGGCCAGTGTCTAATGTACAATACACAAGTGAGCCACTGGGCATATAAGTGCAGTGCCTCAGAAAAAACTGACTTGAATTTTAACATTAATGTACTGATAGGCCTATTTGCTGAATCTCTAAGTATTTTACACTTTACCTGAATTTGAAAAAGAATGGTAGTCATGTCAAGTAGCCTATTAATGTACTGTATTATTTTGAAGTATAACATTTTATAGCGTTTATTGATATGTACAGTAAAATCGGAGATTGCGAGTATTATACACACCAGTTCCTTTTGGTTCTCGCTTTTATAAACATAGAGTCCGACTGCATCAGTATGCACGCCAGTATATTTTGTTTCTTGGCTTGTTTTCTGTAGAAGCTTCTTACCTCATATCGTGTAAGCATATATTGATAATTTAGTGCATTAAGCAAACTTTGAGTGAATGTAACAGTCGTCAAAGAAACAGATGTTTCGCAGCATATGTATATTATGTTGTGGTTATTTTTAAGATCTAATTTATCGATAAAGAGTGAGAATGTACTGGCACGTTTTTAAGTATAAAACTTAGCCAGTGTCTCATCTTCACTGTAGGCATGTATGTGTATAAACATACCATAGGCAAATAATTATTAAGCAGGTGGTTGTATGCATGCATTGAGCATGCTCAGAAGTATACACTTTAGAAACAGGTGTGGATGTTATTTTCCCCGCTACTTGTGCAAGGGCGGATGGCCACACTGTAATTGCTAAAGTAGCTGTTATTCTTATATATGTTCATTTTCATTTCAACTGTATATTATGAGAAACATGGAAATTGTTGAGACTGTTGTTGTTAGTGTGCGTATTCATAGTTGTAACATGATGTTGAAAATGTTATTATTTTGTAAATTGATGGAGAAAGGGAAAGGATTTTGTTTCCATGATGGGTGGTTAGTGGCCTTGTAAAATAAACGCCTGTGTGGCCCATATTCAATTAATTGTTTTATTTTTTCATATATGTCCTCTCAGCCTAATGTACATCACCATTTTATAATCACAATTGTGGTGCTGATGAAGATGTCATATGCTGCTGATATGGTGATATTTGATAATAGTGATGATAAAAATGGTGGTGATGCTGATATGATGATGATTACAGTTTGATTTATAATACTTGAACTAAGAAACATGGTATAAAGTGCAACATAAAGTGGAAGTTCACAACACTTCAAGATCTTCAATTCATTTCAGAAGGTGGGGGGGGGGGGGGCCAGTGGATGGGTCAGAGTTCATTTCAGAAGGTGGGGGGGGGGGGTGCCAGTGGATGGGTCAGAGCACAGACCCACCAAAAAACATTCCAAATTCATTTATTCACTGATATAGAAATACAACACGAGTACGGGAAAACAAGGAAGCAAAGCTTGTAAAAAAAGTCTGGTTTTACTAAGTTAACAAACAAAATAATTTAATAAACAAAAAATGAAAGTTAAATTACAAGACAAATCAATAAAAACATTACAGTAATTCAAAATGGTGATCATAGCACCGCCTGGGTCACCTGGCAAAGTCATCAAAGAGTTGTGGAAAACCCTGTCGGGAATAAGTTAATTGGAATCACTTTCTAAAGTCCTGTCTTTACTTTGACAAAAAATTGTTATATGCCCATATATAGACATGATGTACCTATATACTGTATAGTCATGATATGATGTCATATGACCATTTTTTTTAGTTTTTGTTACATAAAATTTGATAGTCTGGACAGGGCTCAAGCCAGAGACAGCTGGCCTGAGAGTGAATACAATAACCTATAATTTTTGTCACCTCAGCCCACAAGGATTGGGGTGTGGCCTATCGGGGAAGTGCTGATGCAACTGCTAAATTTCAAGTACACTAATGTGGGGCTTCTTTTATTCCTTGTTTCGCATATAAGATCATCGGAGGAAGGTGGAATAAAAATAAAAATGTCCTTATTTAGCAAATAGGTTTTTAGGAAGGATGTTTAAATGCTTCAAATGTATATAATTATGAAGAAATATACATATCTTTGGAGATTTGAAGGCAGCGGAGGGCGTAATAAAAATAAAGAAAAACATTTGTCTTTTTCTGAAATTTCCACTTTTCGTGGTGGCGTGTGCGCTAATTGGCCAAAAATAAAATTGTACTTTTATTCGAAATCATCAATATTTGCATTTAGCGGGTTCACTAAACAAGGTATAAAAAGTTTTGCCTAATAAACAATATTATTTTATGAAAAAAAGAGCAAAACTTAAGATCCAATAAAATTTTAACAAAGATAACGTGGAAAAGTTTTAATATCTTGGTGCGATTCCATATAAAGAGCCAGTGGCATAACAATGGGACTGGGGCCCTTTTTGGGCAGACACCAATTTTGTGATATGCTTGTTTTTTAATCATGTTTGTCGTCATATTCTAAATGTTTTTAACGGCCCTTTTGAGCAGTCACCAATTCTGATGGGGGATTTTAGGTGTGATCATATTTTATGCTTTTGGCAGATCCAAGAATTTGATGGGAGAAGGAAGGATGGAGTAAGGAGGAACTTTTACAAACAAATAGTCTATACCACCTCACCCGCACCATGGTTGGGGCTGAGGTAAGAAAATTAATGATTATAGCACCTCTAAATGGCTGGAAATGGCACTCACAGCAAAAATTTCTCCATTTTAAAAACAAATGTTGACAAACTTTGGGGGCCCCAGGCCGACAACGCCCCCTTTAATATGATGTCCCTTTTTGGGTCAGAGTGCTAGATCGAGGATGAGGATGGGGGCCCCTCAGGGCAGCGGACAGCTGCACAAGAGCGCCTAGCGTTATACCACTGTAAAGAGCATCAAACAGAGAATATGACTCGCACAAACATTTTACAAATTCAAATTAAACTTCCAATTTACAGGAGTAGTACTAAAAACATCTGTAATATCTGTCTACACTGTCATATGTGACAAATTCTTTGTTATGTGCATTATTACACCAAAATATGGGCATATCACATTATTTGTCACATACAATTTGATAGTGTGGACCAATGCCGTAGCCAGCTACTGAGACAGTTGGGACAGTCCCACACACTTTTTCTAATGGGTCCACAAAGAATGGGTCCACATATTTAAAAATGGGTCCAAATTATGCAATTTCATGCATAAAATGAGTTCACTTTTTGAAAAATGGGTCCAGATTTCTCATATTTAACCTAAAATGGGTAAAATTTTAAAAACATTGGTTCAAATGTTTCATATTTTTGCGTAAAATTGGCCAACATTTGAGAAAAATGGGTCGACTTGAATTTACGCGGTAAAGTGGGTCTACACTGATACTGCCCCACACTGTTTGAAAAACTTGGCTGCAGCATTGGTGTGGACAGTGCTGCATATTTGCTGCCAGAAATTTATAGGGTACCAGTATTCAAAGATGAAGCCAGGCACTTACTGCATCGTACAACGAAACCAACTCCTCTCCAATTGAGTGCTAGACGATGCGACAACACCATATGCTAATTGTCGGTGGCAGTGTGAACGGATCGTCAATAAAAATGATCCATTGTGCGCGCGTTGTGTTGTTCTACAAAGAATTGCAGAAGCCCCAGTGAGTGCCCGGTTTAATAAGAATAGTAATTTCATTTGGCGAGAACATTTTTAATGCCAATGCAAATTTAAGCCAATGAATCATAAAACATACTAACTTATAAGCAATTTATTGATTTTCAAGATTAAATTAGGTTTAAGAGGCAGTTTTCTTTGGCGAAAAAATCTTCCAGTTTAAAGTCTGCATTGACATTGGATACAAACCAAGATTCTTACACCCGCAATCCTATTTTCTGATTGGTTCAGTAGGCTTTCCGATCCAAACATCAGATTTGATGCGAATGCAACTTTAAGGCAATGAATCATAAAACATACTAACTTAAAGTAATTTATTATTTTCAAGATTAAATTAGGTTTAAGTGGCAGTTTTATTTGGGAGAAAATCTTAGTTTAAAGTCTGCATTCACATTGGATACAAACCAAAATTTGGACCGTGTTCCCGATGCAGCATCCATATTCTTACACAGCAACCCGATTTTCTCATTCGTTCAGTAATTTTTTCCGATCCAAACATTCAGATTTGATGCGAATGCAACTTTAAGCCAATGAGTCATAAAACATACTAACTTTTAAGCAATTTATTGATTTTCAAGATTAAATTAGGTTTAAGTGGCAGTATATCTTAAATATAAAATGTTGTGTTATTTTACCACTTACTAAAAGACCTTGAATGAATGATCAGTTATATTGAAAGTCACTACTATCTATTATATGATGGTTGGTATTAACTACAAATAGTAATACTATACATTACGTTGTCTATTGAGATGTATATGATGTTATTGTTCAATAGCCTTGGAGTGTTTTTCTATCAGTTGAATATTAATTATTGCAATGAGTCAGTCACTATGTATTTTTCATTAGGTCACAATTTCTATTATGTGTCCATATGCTGCATCTAATAATAATAATTTCTTTCTATTATGACAAAAAAAAAATCAAATTTCACTGTGGTGGCAGCGCTACGGGGGAGAAGTTAGGAGAGATTCGTTGGGGGATAAAAAAAATATTTTAAAATGGTTACATCAAATGTTGGCCTGAATTGGATAGGCTTATATATATTAATAATTCGGACGCCGATGAGATACATAATAAAACACCATCCTAGGTCAAGATGCCCTGTATGAGGGTCTAGCTGCTTATTTAAAAAAAAAAAAATCGATGCAGGGGTTGGGGGGGACCCCTTCCAAACCCTCCCCCACTTGGGCCAATGACCGATCCTCGGATAGCGCTATGCACCAAAGTACAACTCTTTCCCAGCCTGTCGGGGGTGTTGCCCTGTCGTCGGGGAAATCCTAGCACCGTCAGTGCTGACGTGTATCGCCATGCACAGCAAATAAACTTAATGTGTTACGGAAGTTCATTTAATCTGATCTCCTGCAAGTGGCCATCTTGGGACCCCAGTAGTAGTTGGATCAGCACCCACACTGCCCGCATGTAGTCTTAGTGATCTCCAGAGGGAAGAGGATTGGCCACCCAGCAGAAAAAAAAAAAGAAGCTGATCAAATGGCAGATGAGCTTCTTCGATCCAACAAGTAGGGTTCGTAATTAAGTGTTATCCACTATGTTGGGTAACGTTAAACTGAACTAATTTTTTCTTAAGCTAATAGGTTAATGACAAGATACATCCGTTGTGGTATTATCTGGAAATCCTATAATGACCGCAAGTTTCCTGAAAAAGACTGGCTAAACTCATCATTGCCTAAAAAACTACTGACAACCTGGAAAAATACATCAATGCAAAGGTTACAATATGGAAAAATACATCAATGCAAAGGTTACAATATCAAATTTTAATCACTAAAGTAGAAACATTAATCTTACTTTAACAATATTTTATTAATATGATACAGCTGACCTACGAACACTGACAATTTGAATCAGTAACTGAATCATCTTAAACAAGACCATGACAAACTCTAGAGGGCAGAAGTCACCATTGGTTTCTTTCTCAATCCTGATATAAAGGATGTGATATGTAAGTGGCAATATATCTATGATTAAATTATTAATAAAAAAAATTTGTACAGTTTTGAATACTGTCAACAGTTGTTACTACTGAAATGAAGGAAATGTAGCCACACACGACACCAAAGTTGCTAATTGTGGTAGCTAGACACCCATATATCTTTAGCAGCAGCTCTTTAGGTTGCGGTACTTTAAGCCAAGTAAAAATATATTTGCTGTTGAGTCTATATTCTTTATTTAATTTAATATATTTTTCTAGAATTTTTTATGAATTGCTGAAAAAAGAATATTACAGTACTACAGTAATGTTGAAACGGTTTGGCGAGGTGTGAAGATTTCTCAATTTCAAGGACAGTGTTTCTGTGCATTTTGCTTATCTTTCAGCGAGGCATTTTATCCGCATTGCTTCTCTCGGAAAAGAAACCTATGTATATTTTTTACTTCAACTTAATGTGAGCCCGCATTAATTTTAATACTGAAAATGTAAAAATCCTCTACACTTTGTACCTCAATTGGCTCAAATTAAAAAATTCCTGTGATTATACACAAACAAGTGAAGTGAGACTAACATTTAATATGATGTCCTTAACTAGCCTTCCTTTAAAATTGAAGGACACTTCATGATACACCTCTCCCCAATCACAATCAAGGTGATAACGAGGAAGTCTGCAGATGACAAATAATGACTCGTCAAAGGGCATAACATAACCCACAAACATTCATCAATCTTCAGTTACTTGAGTAGTCATATGGTGACATATCATTCAACATTATCACCAACATAAGGATTTGATTATAACCATGCTTGTGATGAACACCCCTACAATGACTACTAGCTAAATAGTGAAACTGTAATCATGATTTAACAATTATAAAAAAAAATATAACAATCATTAAAAGATTAAAACACTTATACAAATACAAACATGTACAATGAAAAAACAATTTTGATTGCCAAAAAAGAGACCATGAGCAGTATTTTTTGCTAAAATAAGGCCAAGTAAAAAAATTAATTAGTTTCTAATCTCCACTCACTTCCTGTTTTTGCTACTGTCTGAATTTGTTTATATAATAACATAGTACTAACACTGTTATTACTAATTTTCAAAAAAATCCTCTACTTGTGTGCATCAGATTCAGTGTACCAGCATACAAGATGAGAAATTTTTTTTTTTTAACTTGGCCTAACACGAACATATGAAATCATGTGATCATTTATCATTATCCTTATTGGATACTCCTCCCAACTTATTAAGGGGGATCATCAAATCATCTTTTCCAAATATAGTTCATAATTAAAGTACAAATGTTGCAACTTATTTGTCTCATAATGCAGCTTATTTAAATCATGTCAATTCTAAAAGACAAAGCATTGATTCTAAGAGATTGATCCATAACCAATAGGGGTTACGCAACGTATGCACCAAACCTTGCCAGTTACCACTGCTAATTTCTAGTATGAAACAATTGAAATAAGACCTATACTAACACAAACACAAGCCAAATTTGGTTGACACTTCCTGATGTATGCAAATCTTGATGCAGTTAAACTTTTTAACAAATGGGGAAATAAGAAAATGTTAAAATAACTGTGTTTGAATTTTGCATCAATCCTCTTGCATTTGCGTTCAAAGTGTGCTACTGTGAACCAGGCTTAACATTCGTAATTGTGTACAGAGGCCATGATTCAGAAACAATCACTGGCTTAAAGGGGGGGGGGCATTACACTACATTGGCCGACATGATTCCATGGGGATTGGAATGCAACATGGCACACTACAAATTGTTATTCACAATGATCTGCTCCGACTACCACAAACATTCAGCAGATGGTCGGCTCCAAAGCAGTAGGGAGCTTTACACTGCACGACGACGGTACGACGTAATGACGTCACTAAAAGTCATCTGCGCATGCAAAAGTTCTCCTCGTCGCATGGATTCTAGGATGCAATTTGGCCAAATCTACGTATGCAGAGAATGTAGGACTTCTTGTAGGACAGTCACGCATGAGTGATTCTGTTCTAGCTTCATGTCATCGCGGAAATCGAGAGCTCCTAATGCGTGCCCAGCTTCAAATGTGACTTCTATGACAATATTCTATAGGTTACAGTAACTTGCATTTCAGTCCTCCAGTTGTAACACAATGAAAGCAGCAATGGATTAGTACCACGAATCCAATGAGCTCCTTGGTTTACCATTCAAAGCATAGCATCCATTTTGTAACAAGCCTAACCACGTAATTACCTGTTTATCAAATATGGCATGGATTGATTCAGATCCCTAAACGATTCATCTCTTTATCCAATATCAATAACCGTGTGATGTTTCACGTTTAATACGAAGCATTATGGGCGAACAGCAGGAATTACATATTATGTGCAAGCTCATTTGAACTACCTACTTTGTCGAATACCAGCTGCATCGTGAATCACACTGAGCTGCAATTTTCTCAAGCACATACACGCTGGTCTCGCATGAGACTGGGCTGATAATTGCTGGCTGATGGTAGAAACTGAAATGTTTGTCAAATTTACTTGTTTTCAGTGTCACAGACTGCAAAAGAGATCTAGATCTTAACTGTGAACACAACTGGTTTTGAAGGTTCATTTGCACTGGCAGCTGATTTGAATAGTGCCTTATGGATTAGATTGGCTTCTACGTCGTCTGCTCTCATTGTTCCGCTTGATTCAATCCCAGCACTTTGAGTTCTTGTAAATCTGGAAAAACAATCGTTATGTATGATAAATGGCAGCATGGTTTAAGTGTTCGGAGTGACTATGTGTCCATGACTGCATAACTTACCTACAACTTATGGCTCGCGTATGAAATTTGTACATGCACCAAATTTTTTTTCGACGACCTCACCGCACTATGACGTTATACCAGCGTGCTCTTAACTTATACAAAACTTACCCCTAACTTATTCGACGTACGGCAGCGCATTTGCCAAATTTTCCATACGTCGGCTTACGCTGCCTAAATCATTAAGGTGTGACAGGGTCATAAGACATTGACGCCTTTAATTTTCTTTAACAATAATAATAGTTTTTATTCTAGAAGAGACAGTAGTAAATCTTTATATTTTGAAGTCCAAGACATGAGTTGAATGTTAAATTTGTTGCTTATGAGATGAAATAAATTTAATCAGACATCTGCTTTTAGTTATCTCTCTTAGTTTCTTTTGAATAAGTGCCTCTCTTGAATAAACATCGCACTGAAGCCATCAAAATATCCACTGCAGAGTGTACTTATTAACTTACAGTATTATGGTAATAATATTCTATTTGTAACCTGTCCTATGGTCAGAAGACTGGGCAACAGGAAACGCATATCACCAGAAAATATTTTGAGACTTACTTAAAACGATCACTGATTGGGCGGCTTGTTGATTTTGCAGCCGATGTTGACGACGTCGATGATGATGATGATGACTCTGGAACTGTAGAGGAATCCAACTTGCACTGCATCGGGATGCCATCTAATTCCCTATTGTTGTATACATTAATTGCCTCCAAGGCATTTTCACGGTTAACATACACAACTTCTGCAATGCCCTGTTTCACAAATCTGGCCTTACGCAAAGCACCAATTGCACCAAAGAGCTCCTAAAATGAGAAGTTACACTGATACTAAAAAAACATATACAACAGTTATTTTCAGATGGTGGCTCTTGCAGCCAAGCTGACTAGAAGATGCCCTATACTGATATAATACTTATGCCAATATAGGGCCTCTTTTGTGAAATGAAAAAATTAATAAACAATCAAATTTTGTGCAAGCCATATATTGCAGATTCAAATATTTTTACATTACATTTATTACCTATTTAGTTAACAGTCCTGTTGCCTTACCATCAAATTGCACACTTCCATGAACAAAAAGAGTAATATTAATTACTTTATTTTACGTTCGATATTATTTCATGCTTCTACAAAAAATATTTTTTTGTAGTCATTGGATGAAGGATCAACCATGCACAATTTGCAACATTCTCTGCTCTTTGAGAAATGTTTCAAGGTGACCAATATTATTAGTGCACATGTATTCTTCTGAACGACCAATTAAGTAATGCAACAACGCTGGGGGAAGATGCAGGGGGAAATGGGGGAGAGACGTAGCGATCGTATCCCCACAAAATTGTATTAAGAAAAATGATTCTTGAAAGTGCAATTTTCAAGCACCTCTCATGCACCCACTACCGCCAAATCTTGCATCCACCCCAGCTACAGACAGTATAAACACAGGCATAGTGGTGGTAAATAGCCTTTAAACCAGCAGACAATCCCTATTCTTCTTTAATATGAAATTAGCCTTGATTGCACACAAGTTGAATCTGTCGTTTCTGCGCTTAAGACAAAAGAAGAGAAGCAATGGACCTGAATCTTGTAATGATTGTCAAAGTGAGTCCTTACCTTTATATCTTCTTCTGTGACACTGTAATGCAGATTGGTGACATAGACTCTTGTCCCTAAGGGGCTCAGACGCTACAAAGAGTAAACCATTAATATATGTTTTACAATGACAACATGTTGTAAGTTGTTAATGCTAAAAAAAAAAATAAAAAATAAAAACTCGCAGGCAAATACATGATTTGTCAAGTTTACAACACTTTTTTACTCTAGCCCCTTGAGCATTTATTTCAAATGGATTTGTGCGCCATATATATCCTTAATTAACTGCCAAATGCATAATTACCTCCGTCGCTGGTTGCCGTGTGATTTGGGGTGGGGGTGGGGCTTGTACAGTCTTCCTAAACTTGATAGCCGATGGTGCAAATCCTTCGTCATAATGCAGATTGGTTTTAGTGCTTGAAGATTTCAATGATCCTGCTGGCATCTGAAAATAAACATCACAAAATCATTTGTATAGTTTATTATATAAATCTATTATATGCATATTATATAAATCTATATATATATATATATATATTATTATATACATCTATTATTATATACATCTATTATTACCTATTATTATCTATTATTATTATTATTATCTATTATTATATACATCTATTTCCAAACAACTGCCACTTATAAAACAATACAACCCGAAACTATATTTATTTCTCTGTCTGTATGTTGCAATAGTATATAAGGCGAGACTCTTTTTATTCCTTGTTTAGCCAACTTAATATTTTAAAGATTGTCAGAGGGCAAAAAAACAAAATTAAAAATTAACTTTTGTTTTCTAATTTAATTTGTGAGCATCAAATAGTGTTTTAATGGATTTTAATGAAAGTTTAAAGAAAGAAGATAAAGTCAGACAAGAGTCCATAATTTGAACGCTTTCTTTTTCTTGAAATTGTTTGATACTAAACAACAGACACAAGTAACTATGTGACAATTAATGCACCACTTGGCTGATGGGATTCAAACTGCAAACATACTCGACTGCTAACGCTATCACTTGATGTTGTAATTATCATTTTTCCAACTTCCATCTTTTTTTTGCCGGTTGACTTTTGACCAAATTTTGTGGACACTGGTTGTTGTTTCCTGGTTACTTGGATAGTGCCCGATTGTGTCTGGTAAACTCCGTCTGTTGACTTCCGCTTCCTAGCTTGGGGATTTGTGATTGTTACTGACGGTACACGCGTCTAAAAAGTAAAGTGGGAATCGATGAGTAACTGGTGAGATATTTACATAGACATGAAACTTTGCCAAGATCATATGAGCGTCCACATATATTGTCTGTAACCATTAAAATCCATGCTAATCGATAAGAATTAAGTTATAAAAACAGTGAAAAGACGGATCTACCAATTTTACTTAAATAATACAATAATAAACAAAGTCCAAAAATACTATAGCGAAGACAGAGTTAAGTCTATATTTTAGTCTTCTATCAGATGGCTAAATTGAAAAATATTTGTCAATGTTGGCCACAATAAAGTAGTGGTGAAAAGTTAAACAAATTACTACAGCAACAAAAATAGAATGTAACTCTGTAATTAGAGGATACAATACGGCCGTCCCATGACATAACTGCTTTTAAAATTTTTGTTTTGCCTTGGAACGGCCGAATAATACAAAGGTATAATAACTACCTGTGAAGGATTAATGTCAATATTGACTGGTAGTTGGTTAGGTGGCATCACAGTGCATTCAAGGCTTTTTTGTCGTTTTGCTTGCAGCTTTTGCCGAGCATCAACCCCATGTGCTTTCTTAATTAGTTTTACTCTAGCATCTGTCTGTCGGGCCTTAAAGTTCAGTTTATCCCTTGCATCTGTAATTTGTGTAGTAACCACTAATGAGCCACTTTGTGAATCTAAATTTGAACGTCCAATTCTATTCTGTCCACGACCTGCACCACCGTGCAAGTTATTCCCACGGCCCCGATTTCCAAATTGTGGATTGACATTGGTCCCTCTTCCCCCTCCTCTTCCTCCTGTGAATCCTCCACGTTGAAATCCTCCACGCTGGAATCCCCCACGAGTTCTCCCCCTGAAAAGATAATCATGTCATTAAGAGTACAAATTAGGCTGTGGATATTGTTCTGATGGGTTTACGTAAATCCAAGGTGTTGATTGGTAGAGCTGACTTGACTCTAACCTTAAACTTCAGTCTCACAACCTCAGACTTGTCAAGTTACTAAAATTCATTTCAGTAACAGGGTTTTAAAATATTCATAGAAAATACAAAATTTTCGTAGCACCTAATAATTTGTCTGAATGAGTGCAAAATATTTGTTGCCTAAGTTACAGGTACACGTACAGGACAACAAACAGTTCTGGAATTTTAAAGAAATGAGAAACGATAGATTTAAGGGCCACTTTTTCTTAGTTTTCACAATAATTATCAGTAATCTGATGAACATGAGTTGTCTAAGGACAATGCAACAAAATATCCTGATGATGGGAAAGTCATTTGATCTAGACATTAGATTATTTATCACTTAAATATGGGTCTAGGCCTATGATGATGAATCTCCGCCAGACGGTATAGTAAGGCCTGCGCGAAGAATATATCCTCCGCAAAAAAAACTTGGCCTAGAAATCCGTCGGCGCATTTTGGAAAATAAGGGCTGATTTCCGCGCAGACCTTTTTCCAAAAATTAGGCTTTGACCAAATCTTAATATATAACTAATGCAATTATGCAGCATCACGATTCCACGCACCTATTTTCCAGGCGATTTTCCGCATAAATTTGAGCTGATTTTTTAGATATCCTCCACACAATTAAAAAACTTTACAGTATGGAATCTCCATATTTTGTCTATTTCCGTACATTCGTAAAGGCAAAATTACTAAAAAAAGTTACGTGGTAGTCTGCTATTTTAATGCATTACGGCATGTCAAAGAATATCCATAGTATTAGTAGGCCTAGCTAGCCTAGACCTAGGTAGTAGTAGTGACTAAAAATTAATAAAATAATATAAAACTGGGCGCTAATGCACTTTAGTACTCCACCCCAACCCCAACTTTAACATCAACTCCAGTCTTGCAATGTTATTGTTAAGGTTAGGGTTAGGGTGGAGTACTAAAGTGCATTAGCGCCTAAAATAGGCCTAACCTAGGCCAATTCTATATGCTAGGCCAAGCTGTTAATAATTATTATTAAATATCAGATAGCTAGGCCTACTTAGGATGAAGAAACAACAGCACAAATAACTTGGGCTCCCGACGCTGATTGCCGAGAATCGATAACTATAAGGTAGTCCCCAGATATTGAGGATATTCACATCGTTTCTTCTAATCCTAGGCCTAACCTCCGCCAAGTCCTAGCGCCTATGCAATCCTGCTGGTCCGGCTGTCCTAACGACCACTCTAGAGAGGAGGGCCTAGGCCCCCTGGGCCATTAAAACATATCATTTGAAATTTCTCACCTTCCTCGTCCGCCAAAATTTCTTTTATTTTGACCAACAGAACGATTAGATTTAATAATTTCATCTAAAGACTTATCCATACTGATTTATGTTTTACTTTAAAAAGAGAAATGGGAAATCCAAGCCGCCGCGTTGTAAAAATGTGAACAGATATTGGTGGCGCTTTCCAATAACAAATGTACTTGTACACGAACAATGACACGACCGTACATAGAGGCGCCATGAAATTTAATTAACACAATTATTTTAATATGTAATACTTCATTATTTGGATAATTTAAATTTATATAGATAAATTTAAATAGATCACTAATTTTTTAAATATGCTGTAATCCATTTTAAATCCCATAATAATTATATGTACGTATTAATTGTTTGAAGTCAAACCTTTATTTAGGCCTATATTATGATAAAATCTGTTAAAACATGTCATAAATGTACTGTAGGTATATATATATACTGTCTCTTATACACATCTCCCCACGAGTTCTCCCCCTGAAAAGATAATCATGTCATTAAGAGTACAAATTAGGCTGTGGATATTGTTCTGATATTACCTAACTTATTACCTAATTAATAGGCCTAAGCTTTACCTGACACGCTTAAAAGCTGGTAATCAATTTATGGATTTTTTTTTTTTTTTTAAATCTCTTTGAATCAGCGAAAAATATTTTTGAAAATCTGTTTTTGGTTAGAAGTTAACAACTGTGCTATGGAGTAATTTATTTTATTAATATATTTTATCATGCTTATCGATCCATAACAATTTATATAAGATCCTGTTTTTCCAGAGTAGGACCTGTCTATTTATTTGTTAATTACGGGCGCATGTTTGTATCCGCGCGTGTGAACGGGGCGGTTTGACGACGATCGATCATTCATGAGTGATGGCGCTATACAATTTGGTGCTGCTCTCTCTCAGCTCTCTCTGTGCAGCTGCTCTGCTCTGATCCTCCTCCCCATGCCAGCTAGCTCTCTCTACTCGATCTCTCACACAGGCGATTATTGGAGCAGAACAAAAACGGAGTTGTGGGCCTGAACAGTGCAAGAAATGTAATAGAAATGTTTGTGGAAACATATGTATGTTAATATTCTGTTTCCGATAGAAGTAAGTTATGTTTTTTCTTTTGCCACCTTAACTTTTTTTGTTTATATTTTAATGCGATCTGCAACTCTATGAAGTTCTACCTAACCTAGGCCTAGGCTAGGCTTTCTTAGGAGCCTAGCTAGGGCCTAGGCCCTAGGCCCTAGCCTTGTTTTAAATGCCTTTATTTATTTAGATACCGCCTGCGCCTGCATAGGCCTAGGCCTACTGTAGGGTAGACTTTGCTGGGCCTAAACTAAGATTCGGAGGACTAGAGGCTTGGGTACCAGCATCCTAACTAGGCCTAGTACCACAAGCCTCCTAGCGTATGACCCTAGAAAACAAAATAAATTATACACACTCCTGGTCTATGCTAGGCCTAGGCCTAATCTAATATTATTTAATATTTATATAATATTAGGCCTATGCTAGCCTAGGCCTAGGTAGGCCTGCCTGCTATAGATTACTGACTGTAAATTATTAATATTAATTATTATAATTGATAATACTATATTATTAGGCTAGGCCTAGGGCCTGCTGTAGAAAGGGATCCCGATTGATTGAGATTCAACTGCATTTTCATGCAGTATCCTCAATTAAAATAAAACAGGCCTAGGTATGGTAGGTTATCCAGATGTTAGTGTTACTAGAATAGTCAGTATAGTAGGCACATTGTATTGTATAGCACTTTAATGCATCGGAAACTAACTAAATGTTTTTGAGAAGATTCAAGATTTATTTTGGTCAAATACAAATAATAAAGTAAACATGCTTCGAAACTTTGGTTGATATTACATGCATAACATTACATTTTGCAATGAGTATGAAGTGCAAATTAAACTTTTCTGATAATATTATGTTAAATCCTAAAATAGATAAAACAATTAAAGTGTTCTCAATTTGTGTTTTATTCATAGCTCTTTCAAATGAAGTTATAATGAGTGACAAGAAAGTAAAACCTCCTCGACCACCTGCTCCGGCTGCAAAAGGGAAGAAAACCCCCAAGAAATCTTATCAAAACGGACCAAGCATTACATTCCATTACCGCAAAGATGCAGACATTGAAAATGAGGTTGATACTGGAGTTTCCATGGTAACCACTAGCAATCCATCAAAACGAGAGTCCAGTGTGGAACACAAAGTAATAAGTCCAAAGAATGAAATATTTACGAAGGAAGCTATTGATGATCCTTTAGGAGCCACTAAGAAAACAGAATGGAATGGCAACAGTAGATTAGATTATGATGTCTTTGCTGAATCTACTGCATCAAGGACTAGAAAGAGAGATGCTGATAAGAAACAAAGACCAACAAAAGAAATTGATACTGGAATTATAAGGATCACAAATGAGGTCATTGCTGTTGATGACGATAACAATATCTCCATTCCTTCTGAATCCAAAGAAGCTATTTCTGATCCATTGACATTTGTAGACAAGCTCCATGATAACCAGAGAAAAAAAGAGGCTGCAAGACTCGAAGAGGTGAAAAAAGAGGAAAGAAAAGCTCGGTTAGAAGCTGCCCTCTGGCAAAAAGAGGGTGAGAAGGATTCAAATGATTTGAATGTCAATCCATTTTACTTCAATGTACCAACACCATCAGAGGTTCCTGATGAGCCCCTACGTCCACAATCAGAAGGTGCTATTCCTCTCTCTCTATCAGGTCTACTAGAGAAGTCCCATTCCGATGAGAGCGTCAAGCCAAGAGAACTTCCGAAAAAGGTACCTGGCTCCAGAACCAAAGATTCAACTCCACCAAAGACACCAAGTGAAGACAGTTTTTCAGAACTAGAAAAAGATCTCCTCTCCGATGTGGAGACTCCAAGTAGTAAACAATACTCAAAGGAGCAATATGATGCAACATTCAGTATGGCAGGAAAGCAAGTATTGATTCCCAAATACAGAATCATTATTATGTCATTCTTCATATTTTGCTACCTGATATTCCCCCTACCCTCATACCTGGTGGGACTCATGACCGGAATGATTGCTTCCTTCTATTGTGTTTTGTTTGCGATTTGGATTTCCTTACCAGAAGCCCCTCGAGAATCTCCTGTGTCACCTGATATTCGGATTCCACTGGTTATTCCTGGTGAACGGATGTCAGCTCCAAAGGCACGAGCAAAGGAACAAGAAAAAATCTTCCATCAGGTAAGTTGTTTACTTTTAAAAGTCCTGTATCTTACTTGTACCATGTTGTAAAATAGGTTGATGCCCAAAATGTGACACTTTTTGGTTATTAAATTTGTATGATATTTTTAAGAGTGAAACTCTTTTTATGTGGTCAGGAAAAGAATAACAAGACGCAAGTGTCTACAAAGGCCTGTGGATATTTTAGTAATACATGGTCTTCAGCATGTCCAGCCTGAATCACATTTTTTCTCAAGTAATTTTGCAACGTACTAAAGCATTTGGTGCAACAACATATCATATTGGGTATACTGTAGTGTCATTCCTGTTTATATAATGCAAACATCTTTCGAAATATTATTTATTCCTTAAAAAATCTGTACAAAATATTAATGTGTGCACTTGCTTAACTGCCATAACATTTTCAATTATACAAAATATATTTAATCAGTATTACTGTAAGCAGGTGTGCTATAGTGGAAAACTACTTGATGTGACATTTTTCTTCAAAAGCAGCTAAGTTTATTATTGAGAGCAAGTTGTTTATGAATTTTTGCTGACAGTCAAAGAAGTCTGCCACTAATGCAGATATCTCCATCATCCAGATTGTAAAAAAATAATAAAATTTATTTTCTAATCCGAAATGTTCAATTTTCATTATTTCACATCCTGTTGAAGAAACATATACAGGCTATTTTATAATACATTAGCGGTTTCTTAGAAGAACTAAATCCTTCCGTCATATTGCTGCTGAACAGCTTGCTAAAATTGTCTTAATTGCTTAACCAGCTAACAGGTTCTTAGCTAATTGTAGCGACAATGCTTACTGTAGTGTCGACAAGAGATATCTCAACTGTTATCACTACCACAGATCTTATAATATAATTAGGATCTAAGTCCTTTGGCAGATCCAGGAATTTGAAATAGAGGGGTTTTGGGGAGGGGGGATGTCACCTGATGGAGGATTTAGACCACCTATACAGTTAGTTAGCTTTGGTTGTGACTACAGTAAGGTACACAATTGTATGACTGTCACTACTAGAGATACATTTTGCTGAATTTGTTGTCCCTGATTGTTCAAGTGCTCAAATAATGACCTATGAACTGTTGTTGTTTGTACACTGTATTATTAAATAGTACATAATCTCTAATCTGTCACCACAACCTAAATACACATCTCTGTATTTTGTTTACAATTATATCATTTTCAATGGGAATATTAACTACAATTTGCGGACCCCAATGGAAGTATATATTTTTTTTTTATCACATAGCAGTTATCATGACAATATAGATACAAATACAGTATGTTCAATACTTTGTGCATGGAGATTAAAGTCAATGCAGAATGAAACGAAGAAATCCAGGGTAAAACATTTCTATTTCAAAGCATTGCGATATAAAAATTCATGACTTAATTTGAGAGTACATACTGCAGTGTCATAATGTTACAGTAATTGATTAATATCATACCACCATACTGGATATTAACTTTTTTTTTTATTGATTTGTCATGTGATAGTGTTTATAATTTAGTATTTCCATGTTTATACTTTAGGTATCATTGTCTATGTTAAGTGTAAGGATAATGTATGCTACAGTTGCCTACTTACAGTACCTTCATTTTCTATTTTATTTTTATACCTCCATGGTTTTATGCATCTTCAATACATTATTTGATATTTACTGTAATATTTACAGTACTACAGTATGGTGTATACATTTTTTTAATTTCAACATTTTATTTCTATCAAATATGAAATACAATAAAATACAAATCATAATAAGTGAAAAATGGAGATACTACAAAAGACTTTTGATATTTAATTAAATACTCTATGTTAACTGATCATCTGTAGTGACTCTAGTTGGGGGTGGGTGGCAGGGGATCTGACATATTCTGGTGGAGTCTAGCACGTTCCAGATGTGAATCTGTATTAAAACCTCTGGCACCAAAATGGGCAATTTTTAGCTAAACTTTGTTAGGCCTTCCTTTCCCTCTCCTCTTGCACAAACACTAAAACTTTGTCCACACTATCAAATCTTATGTAACAAAATTATGATACCTTGTATGTCCATATTTGAATGTAACATAAAATTTGCTAGTGTGAACAGAGCTTTAGTATCATAGTTTCTTTCATTTAGTAAACAAGGTCATTGAAATTGCGCAATGGAACACACCTTACATTACAAGCAATACCAAGAAAAGTTACCTTATAATACAACAAAAAATGTTACTTTGATAATTATTTCTGCTGAAATATACAGTAAACCTATGCATTCATTAGTGTTCATCCATGTGGACATCATCTACGGTATTATTAATTGTAACTAAGTTAATAATTAATCCATTCATTTATTTCATTTATAATTCAAAACATAAACAACAAAGTGTCTTTTCAGGTGCTTGGTGAGAGTAAGATGGTTAACAGTAACTATAGTAACCAACAAAGGACTATGTAGTTTATGCCTGAGATTGATTAACATTGTTCAGAAATTATCAGGCACTAGTGAATTATGTGTTAGTTTATTTATTATTAAAGACCAATGACCAAAGTGCAGGATGAAACAAGCCAGTTATTGTGCAAACGATTATAAATGAATATATCTCAAATGTGTAGGCCAATATAGTAGTTGCATTCATTGCTTTTGTACCAAACAGAAAGCGGAATTCCCTGTTTCTTATCTTGTGACCAATAAAAAGTTATCTTATCTTATCCTAAATGACCTGTTGTTATATTGCCTCTACATGGAGAGTTAAGCCCATAAAGTTTTTCATTTGATTGTTCATATTAACTCCTGCTGGCACAAATTCTGTGTTTTTAATTTTTGAAGTTAATTTTTGAATATTTATTTACAGTATTTAATTTTTTGCCTTGGTACTATTATTGCCTTTTGACATAGAAAAATAAATATTATTTAACATGTTGACTGCCAAGCCTTTTGTCCTAGTCTTATCCCATACACCAATAAAGGGCATCATCATAATGAAAATTATTCCTATCAACTGTAATTAAACACAAACAAGCTTACGATATTTATTTTTAGATCATCTTATCCAGGTTCTTCCCTTAATCTCCAGGGTGAGAGTTACACGTTCTGGGGACCACTGTTGTGAGCGAGTCAACATGCAGTACAATAGTAATATGTTTAGAGAGGTGTGGAGTAAACCTTTTAGATGTGAATTGGTGTCCCCGGCAACAGACATGTTGATATTTGAGACATGTTGTGGCGAAATGGTTTAGTTGTCGCACAGTCCAGTATTGAGTAAATGAGCTATAATATATGGGAGCTCAAAAAATTGCTAAAAAATCCAAATTTGTTTTTTTACTATTGATCAACAGTTTAATGTCTTATTAATCATGTAAAAAAAGTATTAGTTCTAGAAGTGGTTAACAAATTGTTTATTTAACGTTATTTTTCATAGTTCATTCTATTAAACAATGTATGCACAAATAAATTTGAAAGGCAATTACTCAAAATCCTGTTTATCTTGACTCTAAGAGTACTGTACATTCACTTTCCAATAACTTAGGCTTAAAATGTCCAATTTGAATGAATGACCCCTCATTTTAAAGATCACATACTCAGGTATCTGAAAATACCAATAACTTGAATATCAATTTTTGCTACAACTTAGCCATTTTGCCACAACATGCCTCATTTAGCAATTCGAGTGGCTGAGCGGTAAGGCAGGGGCGCCGCTAGCTACAGCCTTAACATCGGCGCTGATTTATTAGAGAAACAAACTTTTGTATCTCAGCCTTACCTATGGTATCCCTGAAATAGTCTGACTCCTCCATCTGTAAAATTTACTATTTAATATTCTTGGATCTACAACTGATGAATATAATTTAATAAAATATCTCTTATGTCAGTGTCTACCTCAAGTAATGCAAATCACATGTTCAGCTGTTATGACAATATTAGAAAATTGTCCATTGCATTGTGGGAAAGAATATACTCGATAAGGAAGATTTACTGGTACATATAAGAATTATATTAAAACAGGAAATAATATTATGTGTTGCAATATACAATATTCATTGGATCACTTTTGCAAGAGTGGCGTACATCACTGGCAACACCTAACGGCGCATCCATCCAAAAATAGAAACAAAAAGAAATTAAATCTAATTGAAATCAAAATGTACAACATATACCGGATGAAATATTTAAAACATTTGGTGTACAAGATGTTAAAATTCCATGTTTTTGATGTCAAATAGCTGTAATGTATATTAAATGTCAGCATAGTGATTATTTTTCCCCCCTAGAAGGCAATTAAAAAAAATTTAACATTTAGATTTTACTTGCTAAAAAAAAGCATATTATTTCGATAATGTCAATTGAGGAATGCGAATAATTATATATGAACACTGCTAGGTATAGCATGTGTGCTGTACTTTTATTATGCAAACATAAAAATCTGCTATTCATGTTTTTTTTTTTTGGTATCTGTGTGCAGTCAGCAATGAAAGAGTATTAAATTATGAACAAAATGTTGGTGGTAGCCTAAATTTTTGGATTTGTTTTTAAAAAAAATATATATAGTTTACATGTACATTAAAGTAGGCCTACTATTTATTTAATAGGTTGAACTACATTTTTGTATCAGTAGCACTCACAGTCTGTGGTGCTGAAGACATGATAATGATACACATAATAAAGAAAATAAGTTAATACCAAAATTAACTAAATATGCTGACTATAATTGCACTGCAAGTATATCAGTGCAATACATACTGATTTAAAACAATTAAGACATCATAAATTAAGTAAGTTGGTTTATTAAATGTATGTGGTGAACTCTGTGACCTCAGGATGCATGGTTATCAAACAATGTCATGTTTGTATCCCAATAAATTGGCGGATGAAGCGTGAATGATACAGCGTGAATTAACGTTGGCTTTATTAAATCTACCACACGATCAATACTAGACATTGCCACAGTAGATATTTCGTTAAATGAGATATTGAATGGTTTCGTCCTTGTTAATATTTTGTTATCTTGCTTGTCT